GGGGAGACAGACAGACAAGTGGACAGAGACAGAGACAGAAATCAGCAGGACACGAGAAGGGCACAGAAGAAAGCTTTGAATGATTTACCTTTTCCTGGCTTCGTGGTCAGCTTGCAGAAGTTGGCCTTTAGCGTCGAGGAATCTCTCCGGTTTGAATTTCCAAGGATCCTCATAGAATGTTGAATCTCTGTTAAAGTACCAGTTGTTGACGACCAACTGGAAACAGCATGAGCGTTGAATTAAATTATATTCTGTAGTTTTTGTGGTCCATAAAATAGTAAAATGCTAAAAGAGTTAAAGCTGTCAAAGGTGTCAGGGAATGGACAAGGCAGACCCTGCCTGTGATATGCCGATATGCTAAATCAAAAAGGTTTGTTATCTCTTCTACAGACTTTCTGTATCCAAATTACATGTACCACCGGTTGGCTTGAACAAACGTCCAAGGCTAACCACAGGAGATGTGGGCCCTAAACGGAGGAGGAGGAGAAGAAGAAAAAGGAGGAGGAGAAGAAGAAGGAGGAAGAGGAGGAGGAGGAGGAGGAGGAGGAGGAGGAGGAGAAGGACACCACCAAAACCCCCTCCCATTCTCCTTTAAAACACATGCCTTGTTTCCCCTCCACCAAGTCGTTCATTCGAATGATTCAAAATTTAGAACAAAAAAAACAACACAAAACAAAACGAGACAATAAAAAAATCATTTGACTAACAGAAGTAACTACATGTAGATAGAGGATAGCAGAAGAGCTGTCAAAATATAATAATTGAATAATGACATCGCACCGCACTTTATACACATACCGTAGTTCCCTTTGGAATAACGTAACCGTTCAAGGGGATGTCTTCTTTCACCACTCTCTGGGAGCCCAGCGCGAGTTGAGTGATGTATCTGATGATATATTTTATTGTTTCATTGCAGCATTCAGTCATTGACTTATTTCATAATTCATAATTTAGTCAAGGATTCATTTCGCACATAACGAAAACGCACTTAGCGAACAGATTTTCAGGTCCAAAATGTTTTTCTCATACATGTACATGTCAGACAAATCCTGCTAAATAAAATAAAATGTAGGAGAATTCAATTTTTAGCCACTTAAAACGACACGAGACCATTGTGAAAGAGGTGCTTGAAAGTGTGGTGGTAAGAGTTTCATAACGTTTGTGTGATAGCTTGCCTTTTACTTTTAAAGTTTATGATTAAAAAAAAAATCTTTAAGACCAAGTTTGTTTTTTTAAGTGCCTCAAAACAGGACGTCTTCAAACGTTATAATGTGGTAAAAAATACGTGGCGCAACTTATTGTCAAATATTTAATTTCTTAATAAAACTATTGAATATAGGCTCTCCAGCTTGCACAAATTTGTCTTCAATATTTTTCTAAACGCCTGTAAGCTGTATTCTAGAAAATACTTCCATTTATACTGATTTTTAAAAATCCAAGTGGGTGTTTTCCATAGATTTCTAAAGGTTTACAGCTGGGACAATATCCCTCTTAAAAACAAGTCCGTCATAACTGTAGTAGCTCTTGTCCGAGAAAACCTAGCCAGCAGCCGTGACGTGGACTCCTTCACGAAGGAGGTTGTGATTGCGAAAGGAGTGCAGCTTGGTGAAGGTAGGAAGAGCAGGCTTCGTGACCCCATCAGACGCTACAGCAACCAGCTGATGATGGAGACAATCAGCCAGCCCACACTGAAATGGACCCTCATGAAGAGGGGCGAGGAAGCATGGAGCATCCTGTCTTCCTAAAACTCCAGTTCTAGATTCAAGTAATTCAAGTATGCTTATAATAACTGAGACCCTTTAGTGCAAAAATAAGTTCGCAATAAAATTAAATTATCGCAACAAGTTTTACCTTATAAAAGAGCCACTGGTTAGCCGTGACGTAGGCAAAATGTGTGTGAAAAGCGAGAAGTGCTGTGCGTGAACAATTTCATTTTCCACGTGACGGAAATTTTTAACATTTTCCATACATTTATGAAGAAAAGACTTTTTAATCTAGCCTCATCTGTTGTGGAATAATATGATTCCAAACTGCTGTGCAACGTATAGACGACATTAATTCACCCGTTAAAGAGATATTTAAGGACAAGTTACGCCACAAATTTTTGACCGCACAATAGTAGCCGGACAAAGAGAAACTAGAGAAAGATGCTGACCTCTGCATCTCCAAGATAAAGGCCTCGGTATAGTGCATGTCCAGTCTGTCCTCCACACGGGGCTGCCGGTCTCCGAGGACGCGGTCTATTTCTTCCTGAATGTTCCTCATCACCTCCGGGTAATGACACATGACAAGGAAGGAAGACAGGAGGGTTGATCTGGACGTCATATGGGCTGAACAGATAAATAATTGTGATACCGACCTGTGTCTTTTTCTTCTGTCTCTCTCTCTCTCTTCTCTCTCTCTCTCTCTCTCTCTCTCTCTCTCTCTCTCTCTCTCTCTCTCTCTCTCTCTCTCTCTCTCTCTGTGTCTCTCTATCTTTCTGTCTCTCTGTCTCTCACTCTCTCTCCGTCTCTCTGCCTCTGTCTCTCTTATTCTGTCCCCTCCCCTTCTCTCTTTCTCCCCCCCCCCCTTGTCTCTCTCTCTCTCTCTCTCTCTCTCTCTCTCTCTCTCTCTCTCTCTCTCTCTCTCACACACACACACACACCACACACACACACACACACACACACACACAAACACACATTTTCTTTTTGTTTGTTATTCCAAGAAGGCTTTGGAAACCCCATGCTTGTAACCTATCAATGTTTTCTTATTGATATTGGACACGCTTATAACTAAGCAAGCATTATTGCAAAAGGAAGGGACGTCACACAAACTTTTATTGAGATACAAGAAGGCCCCACAAAGCCGTATTCTGAGATAAATATAGCTAGCTCATTTTGTATTTTGTCTGTACAAATGTATTTGAATAACCGAACATTCTACCTGGACGTTGACTTCCGACAGGTTGAGAAGAAAAATGTGTCTCAAAATGCCTTGGCTCTGTCAGGACCAATAATTCCGGTGGGCCGTACTGGATTAACACACGATGAACAGTAGTGAACCAAACTTTAAAAAACAAAAACCAACAACAAAACCCCAACAAAAACAACAATAATTCACTGTTATAATATTATGAAAAAAAGCAGTCTTGTCCGAACATGTAAATGAAAAAATACAATATTACAGGGTGATAAAAAAAAACCTGTACAATTTTTTTCTAAACATCTCGCACATAACTTGTACTAGAATGTTGTAATTTGGAACATATATAATTCATTCAAAAGGAAATTGCTAGACATAAAATTCACAAAGTAGAAACTTATTTTCGAAAACGGAAACGGCTTTTATAAAAGAACACTTATAAATGCAAAATGCACCAATTTAAAAGATCTTGAAAGGAAAGTCACGAAGTAGGCCTAATTGTTTTTTGTTTTGTTTTTTCTTTTCTTTTTTAATTTTGATCTTTCCATCCCTGTAACCTTTAAAAAAAAATTCTCCTTGAGAGTTTAATTTTTTTTTAATTTCTGGAATTCCGAGAACCAATGGTCTATGTGTCCTCCTTTCGACCCGGCACATTTTAACGCGTCGTCCGTAATGTTCAGTGGTGGCCAAACACAAGGATCCCCTCAACCATGAGTACTCAAAGTCACACAGACTGTTACACTTTACGGTATGGAGCTGTTTATAGATACAATAGGGGGAGGGGGGAGGTTGCCCAGATAGACAACATTTGTGGAGTTGATATAGCCTGAAAGGGGAATATGGGCTTTGCCAAGGAACCAAATGTCATAGAGGAAACGTTCACGCTTTTCAAGACGATTGAGGAATCATGAACA